GACCTTACTACACGTTAGTGCAAGTAAACACAGGAATTCTGCAATATGTCCCCAAGTAGAAACATCTTAGGAGACATGACTAATGCTTTGGTATTGCAGAGTAAAAGTGAAAAGAAATAAATGAATACACAATGAAACAGACATATACAATAGATGGAACATTGACATATGAAACATTGATAGATAAAAATTGTTAAAAAAATGACATATACAATACACATTGAAATTGTAATATTGTCTCGCGATATTTCAGTCTCAAAGCGCTTTACGGCATCCCTGCCCAAAGCCCACAGTGAGCAAGCCAGAGGCAACAGTGGCAAGGAAAAACTGCCTAGAAGGAAGAAACCTTAGGAGGAGCCAGACTCAGAGGGGGAGCCCATCCTCCTGGGGCCGGCACGGAAAGTCAGTCATAATTCACATTTTCCCAGTCTTCACATTTGAGATGCAAGCAGAGGGCAGGCAGTTGATGGTAGGCAAGTGCTGGAGCTGTGCCAGATGGCGGGGCAAACAGTAGTACGGCAGCAGGGCAGAGGGGGGAGACATCACAGGCAGAAGGGTAGAAGAATAGAACCACAAGAAATAAAACTGGCACACCATAACAAGAAACATATAGGAGCATGACACATTATAATCAAGGTAACCTGGGTGTCATTCTATAGTGTTTGTAGATTATGTGTGGCAGGGTTCACTACGGGTATCAGTGCTCAATTGAGGAGGTTTGTGTGCACTGCACACTAGGCCTGAGTCCTCCACACACGGCTTGGCTTATTGGCAGAAAGGGCGAAGGGAGACTTGATGCAGTGGCCATGGGGTCAGTGACATCNCAACTGCATATAGAACTTGGTTCTCCATCTTTGCCTTTTTGCATGATTTGTAGTTGTTTGAAAACAGGTTATTTTGTTAACCTCCTAAGATTTTCGCCAAACATACATAAATCTGTTGTCATTCAAATCAGGAGACAGTCCTTTTAAAGATTTAGAGAAAAAACTTAAACTTTCGGTAAGATACAGCCTCCAGCCACACCCTGACTGTACTGGTGCCTCGCCCATTTCAATCAGACAGATATATCTCAGGGCTGCTTCAGTGAATCATTACCAAATTTGGCTCACTGATGTAGGACTGTACCCCAGAGATACCCTCCAAATTTTGTGTCGATCGGTCAATCGGGAGCGCTATGCCACTGTCTATATACATCTAAGACCAACCTAGGCTCATTGAGGTAAAATGAGTTACCACATCAGGTAGGAAGGTGCCTACCAATCTCAGCCATTTTGTGCACAGCAATGGGTGGCTCAGTGGGCTAAACTTGTATGCTTGTAATCAGAGGGTCGCAGGTTCGAACCCAGCTTTGGTGGGTACTTGAGCTAGGCAGCCCGATGTGCACAGCATACCCTCTGTGAAGTGGGCTGGGGAGACGTAAAGGTGTTTTCCCCATGAGGATCAATGAGGCCTCTATTATTATTATTATTATTATTAAACGAGCCATTCAGACGTGCTCAGGCACTTCTCTAGAGGGTTGAACAATAATTATTTTTCTTCCCTAAAACTGAATGCCCAGCCTAACCCGTAAGTCTTAGGCTGACCAAATTTGGCAACAAGATTCCTATTCCTACCGACTACTCAGTCCCACTGACCTGTCCCACTCAGTCTGATGGGGGCGCTACAGCACCCCGATTTGCATTTATGCCTATATCTACAGAACTGTCAAGCCTTCAGTTGAAATTTATTGCGATTCCAATTCACTATGTCATGATGAATCCAGCTGCATATAGAACTTGGTTCTCCCTCTTTGCCTTCTTGCATGATTTATAGTTGTTTGAAAACAGGTTATTTTGTTAACCTCCTAGGATTTTCGCCCAACATACATTAATCTGTTGTCATTCAAATCAGGAGACAGTCCTTTTAAAGATTTAGAGAAAAACTTAAACTTTCGGTAAGATACACCCACCAGCCACACCCTGACTCTACTGGTGTCTCGCCCATTTCAATCAGACAGCTATATCTCAGGGATGCTTCAGCCAATCATTACCAAATTTGGCTCACTGATGTCGGACTGTACCCCAGAGAGACCCTCCAAATTTTGTGTCGATCGGTGAAACGGGAACGCTACAGCCACTGTCTATATGTGTCTAAGACCGACCTATGCTCATTCAGCTAAAACGAGTTACCAGATCAGGTAGGAAGGTCTCTACCAATCTCCCCCATCTTGTCCATGGCAGTTGGTGGCTTATTGGGCTAAGCCTGTGTGTCTGTAATCAGAGGGTCACCGGTTCAAAACCAGCTTCGATGGGTACTTGACCTAGGCTTCCCAACAGTTGTCTGCCCTTCGTGCACAGTGTACTCTCCGCAAAGCAAGTTCAGCGAGACGTAAAGGCATTTTCCCCATGAGGATCAGTGAAGTACCTTTATTATTTTTCTTCCCTAGAACTCAATGCCCAGTCTAAACTGGAAGTCTTCGGCCGACTATAATTGGCACAAAGATGCCTATTCCTACCCATTACTCAGATTGTCCGACCTGTCCGACAGCCACTTTTTGGTTGATATCTCTTGTCCTGTTTGTCCTACAATCGAAATTATTTTTTCTGCTGATACAGACAGCCATGCCCTACCAGACAGCTATATCTCAGGTATGCTTCAGCCAATCATTGCCAAATTTCTCTCACTAATGTAGCACTATACCACAGGCAGACCTTCCAAATTTCCTGTTGATCATTCAAATGGGGGTGCTATGGCCACTGTCCTTATATGTCTAACACCCACCTTGGCTAATTCAGCTGAAATGTCCTTATTTCTCATAAAACTTTCAAAGAATTACCTTTCTCTTCGTCTGCCTCCAGGTTTTTAATTGACTGTTATTATACTGTCATTTCACTCTTAGAAATTTATCAGACTTCAATGATGCTTCAGCTTGTGTGGACTAGAACAATTTCAATGTTTAATATGATATTACTACTGTTGCATGCAGCAGTTTCTCAACTTGACACTGTTGTTAAGAATATGCAACACAGCCTATGTTCACACAGCCAGTACAAACAAACTTTAACTTGTAAGATCTAAACTTTCCAAATCAGGTAGGAAGGCGCCTATTTCTACCAACTACTTAGACCATCAGACCAAAACCAAACATTCAGTTAGGCTCAAGTACTCCACCAGACAATCTCCATCCTCATTCCTACCTACTCCTCAGGCTATCATACCAAAACCAGACATTCAGTCAGGCTCAGATACTGCACCACACAGTTCTACATTATTTCCTACTACCTTCTACTGACCTGTTAGACCAAGACTCAACAATCTCCATCCTGTTTTCTACCTACTACTCAGACCATCACACCCAAACCAGACATTCAGTCAGGCTCAGATACTGCACCACACAGTTCTACATTATTTCCTACTACCTTCTACT